TTTTTTTTTTTTTTTTTTTTTTTTTTTTTTTTTTTTTTTTGCTTTTTTGAGACAGGGTCTCGAAAAACAAAAAACAAACAAACAAAAAGAAAAAATTTATAGTTGGTCAAATCCCAATGGCTTGGGAGGTCACAGGGCCTAGGGAAGAACCTACAACCATTGTTTTGCAAAATGACATACTCATGCTTTTACCCATATATTAGTGCTACCCTCCACCTTGACCAGAGAAGTTTCTCTCTCTACTAGTCAGCATTTAGTGCAGACTCCACACTGGATAAAGTGTTGAGAATGAGTGTCTACTGAGGTTTCAGTTCTAAATGGGACATCTATGTCAACCCTTGTCCCCAAGGATTAAGACTCATCCAGGAAGAGGGGAAGAAAGAATGGAAGAGTCAGAGGATTGGGAGGAATCTCTGATGGACATGACGTGGTCATTGCACCAGGAACTCAATGCAGCTATGATCTTCTGTCAAGAACATGTCAACGAGGGGGCTGGAGAGATGGCTCAGAGGTTAGGAGCACTGCCTGCTCTTCCAAAGGTCCTGAGTTCAATTCCCAGCAACCACATGGTGGCTCACAACCATCTGCAATGATATATGGTGCCCTCTTCTGGCCTGCAGGCATACACACAGACAGAATATTGTGTACATAATAAATAAATAAATATTTAAAAAAAAAAGAACATGTCAATGAGATCAGTCAGTATTCCAACAGGCAGCACTAATCAGCCTCAGTGGACAGGGCTGGAGAGATGAACTGGTGGTTAACAGCACTGGCTGCTCTTCCAGAGGACTTGGGTTAGATTCCCAGCATCTACATGGTGGCTCATAATTGTCCATAACTTCAGTTTCAGGGGATCTGACACCACCTTCTGATACCTCCATAGACACTACCCATGCACAAGGGACACAGACATAAATATAGGCAGAATTCCTACACACAAAAAACAGAATTTTTTCCTTTTAATGATTTTTATCGAGCTCTACATTTTTCTCTGCTCTTCTCTCTTTTTCTCCCCTCCCCTTCAGCCCTCCCCCAAGGTCCCCATGCTCCCAGTTTACTCAGGAGATCTTGCTTTTTTCTACTTCTCATGTAGATTAGATCTATGTAAGTCTCTCTTAGTGTCTTCATTGTTGTCTAAATTCTCTGGGATTGTGATTTATGGGCTGGTTTTCTTTGCTTTATGTTTAAAAACCACTTATGAGTGAGTACATGTGATAATTGTCTTTCTGTGTCTGGGTTACCTCACTCATAATGTTTTCTTTCTTTTTTCAGAATTATGTTTTCTAGCTCCATCCATTTCCTGAAAAATTCAAGATGTTATTTTTTTCTGCTGTGTGGTACTCCATTGAGTAAATGTACCACATTTCCCGTATCCATTCTTCGATCTAGGGACATTTAGGTTGTTTCCAGGTTCTGGCTATGACAAACAAAGCTGCTATGAACATAGTTGAGCACATGTCCTTGTGGCATGATTGAGCATCCTTTGGATATATACCCAAAAGTGGTGTTACTGGGTCTTGAGGAAGGTTGTTTCCTAATTTTCTGAGAAATCGCCACGCTGACATCCGAAGGGGCTGTACCAGCTTGCACTCCCACCAGCAAGGTAGGAGTGTTCCCTTTTCCCCACAACATCTCCAGCATAAGTTATCATCAGTGTTTTTGATCTTGGCCATTCTTACAGGTGTAAGATGGAATCTCAGAGTAAAATAGAATGGCATTTCCATTACGGATAAGGATGTTGAACATTTCCTCAAGTGTTTCTCAGCCATTTGAGATTCCTCTATTGNACATAAACTCAATAATATACTAAGCCTTCAGGCTGGCCCAGGTTCACACAATTCTTCACAGGAAAAGCAGTCATGAATGGCATCTTGGCTAACTTTAACATCTGGTAATGAGGTCAAAGGCACTTCTTTTATTTCTCAAGCAATAAAACATCTCATTAATTTACTTTCTCAAAAAAAAAAATCTGGCTGAGCATGGTGACACTTGCCTTTAATCCCAGTGCTGGGGAGGCACAGGAGGAGGCTGGTCGGGTCTACACAATAAGTTCCAGGACAGCCTGGGTTACATAGAGAAAGCCAGTCTCAAAATAAGATGTGTGTGTATGTGTGTGTGTGTGTGTGGTGGGGGTGGAGAGATGGTTCAGTGGTGCTGCTCTTCCAGAGGACCTGGGTTTAGTTCCTAGCACCCACAGAGCAGCTCACAACTGCCTGTAACTCCAGTTCCAGGGGATCTGACACCTTCACACAGACACACATGCAACCAAAACACCAAGGCACATAACATAGTAAGAAATAAATCATTAGAAAATACAATTCTATTGCAGACAGACAGACAGACACACACACACACACACACACAGGCAAAGTCTCAGGGAAAACCAGAAAGCTTCAATAGAAGGAACTCACAAACGGATGTAGCCTCAGAAGGTAAAAAAGGCACTCGGTAGCAGGTTCAGGAAAAAGCCGGGAGAAGTCAGCTCAAAACAATGTAAGTACTTCACCCAGGCAGCCTTTTGAACACTGAACCAGCTAATGTCAGGAGCATGTGCCTGGACACAGACTTAGAAAAGAAAAATTAAGACAAACAGCAACAACGACGACAACAACAAATGCCCTAAAGTATGGGCTAGAAGACCGCGCTGCAGTCACTGTAAAGCGCCTTTCATCACAGAACCTATACTTAGCACTGCTATTATCAACTCCTGAAGCACAAAGCTGGTGACTGCGAGCTCTTAGTGGATTCAGGAAAACAAACCAAAAAAAGAGCCTTTAATCCCAGCACCCGGGAGACAGAGGCAGTCCGGTCTCTGTGAGTTCGAGGTCAGGCTGGTTTACAGAGTTCCAGGATAGCCAAAGCTACACACAGAGAAACCCTGTCTCGGAGGAAAAAAAGGAAGAAAGAAGAAAGGAAGAAAGACAGAAAGAAAAGAACCAAGCATTTTATCGTCGGATGCCCCTTCCTCACAGCAGGAGCAGGAAACGCTTGAGTTTTGGGTGTAGGTGCACCTTTAGGAAAGCAGCGGTAGAGCGCTTCCAAGGCTAAGAGATGCTGCTCCACGCCGGAGACAAGATGGGTACCAGACTGGCTTGACACCCGTACCTTGCCCCGCACTAACGGGCTGCGCGGCGAGAGTTCGAGACCGCGGGGCCCGCACGCCGGGAACCACGCATGCGCAGAGCCCAGAGCAACGCGGGATGCCCGGCCGCGGCTGACAGAGCCAACCGCCCGGCCTCGTCCGGTGCCGGCTGCCGCCGCCCTCACCCCAGCGCCGCGACCCGGCTCACGCCTCTCTCCCCTGCCAGCTGCTCAGGACTCGGCGGTCCCGTCAGACCGCTGAGGGCGCGACGCCGACGGCAGCTGCGACGGCCCCAGAGGCGCGAGAGGCGCCGGGGTCGCGGCGGCGATTGGCCGGCCGCGGCGCCTGCTCCCATAATGCAGCGCATGGCGCGTCATTGAAGAGAGACCATGATGGCGGCTGCGCTGGGGCCCCCAGAAGTGATCGCTCAGCTGGAGAACGCGGCCAAAGTTCTGATGGTGAGAACGCCGGGCCCCGAGAACCGCAGGGTCCGTGGGACTCCGGCTGGCTCGACCGCGGCAGGCCTGCTGTCCGCTGGCCTGGCGGCCGGGAAGGGCCTTGGGATGAACCCCGAAGTGGTGGTGGCGTGGCGCAGGATTCTCCATCCTACTTTCCTCCTGTCTCGGTCCCTTACTTTCTAGAGCTTGTCCTCTTCCCTGGCCGCCCTGTCCTCTGCCTGGCATAGGGGTGTAGTGGTGTAGGATGGAGAGTTTCCTGTGCCTCCTGCTTCGCCCTACATATACCGCGCCGGGCAGACTGGGTAGCAGAGCAAGGCACGGGAGGGAGCTTGGGGTGAGCCCCGCAGGACTTGGGTCAGGGTACAGTCTTGGGACTGTGTGCATGACGCTGAGTAGTTGATCCTGTTAGGGGAGGGATGGCACAGCCTGGGTGCTCTTCGCAACCCTTGTTCCCTCGTGCATCGGGTCCCCTAGCTCTTTGCCTGACTTGCAGGCAGCTCTGGGTAACCGCAGCCGGCACGTGGACGGAGCGGAGCGGCAGGCAGGAGGGAGGCCAGTCTTTAGGACCAAGGTCGTTGGGGCCAAACTTGGTCCAGGACCGAGCTCCGTGTGCGTTTCGAGTATTGGAAGCTGACTCTGTGGTACTCGGTAACATAAGTCTCACATAGGTTGATGAGGGTGTTTTGAGCAGGACGAGTCAGGATTATAAACAGTATTCTACACAGGGAGCAAAAATAAGGATAAACTTCATTCGGTTACTCAGTGAACTGTGTGTCTTACATTTGCTGACTCAACTTGATTTCTTTCATTTTTCTTTTTGTAAATTATGACAACTGCGATAGTAGATTATTATTTTTGAAATTTATAGGTCCTTTTTTTTAAAACTTAAGATGATTTATACTTTCTAAGAATTGAATGCAGCCCGATTTTTTTTTTTTTTTTTTTTTTTGTACCCGGACTCTTACTTTTTTTAGGTTAGTTGTGTTGAGCATCATGTTTAAGAAAATTTTAGCCAGGGCCTGGAGAGCTGGCTCAGTGGAGCACATGATGCTCTTCCAGAGGACCTGAGTGGGGTCCCCGCACGTGTGTCAGGTGGGTCCATCCACTTGTAACTCCAGTTCCAAACATGCACTTACCCACACATGGAAATAAACACATAATTAAAAAAATAAATAATGTTAAAACGTTTAAAAATAATGCTTGAACCAATTCTAGCGTTGTTATTAGTACCATCCATCAAGTTTTGTCTTCATATACAGTATCAGATGCTTTAGCTTTTGGAAGGTGAAAGGAGGGGCTGGAGAGACGGCTCAGGAGTTTAGAGCACTTGTGGCTTCCTCAGAGGACCTGGGTCTGAGCACATGTGGTGATTCACAACCATCCTTGACTCTGCTTCCAGGGGATCCAATGACATCTTCTGACATCACAGGCCATGCAGATAAAAACTCATAAATAAATCCTTAAAAGATTTGGGATTAAAAACTTAAGCTTAATAAAAGTTTACTAAAATCTCCAAATACAGCATCTCCACAATACCTGAAGATTTCTGAGGAGTTAGGGGTATTTTTGTATTAGATTAAACAACACAGCAGTGCTCTAGTATTTAAGTTGATAGGTTACTTGATGGTGTACGTCATTGACCTCATGGAATGTAGTATTTGTGCTTGGCAATGCATCCTTTTTCTTTCCTGGTAAGGCTGGTTTTTATCACAATGTTTATGTGTGGGTAAGAAAATTGTAGTAATATTCTATTGATTGCTAGAGTTTGGGTCCTATCTTATGAATCCCTGTAGCAGCTTTGCACTGTTGAGAGAAACTGATATTCAAAGCAAATTAGTGATGAGACTGATCACAACTCAGTTCACCAGACACCCCCATTTCAGAATTCTGAGCTCTTTATTCTGTAGCATAGGCTAGGATAGAACTCATTATGTAGGTAGCCCATGCTGGCTGGTGGTCCTGCATCAGCCTCAGAGTGCTGCTTATCACAGGCATGAGCATATTAATTATCCTGTTACATTTTCTTTTTTGATGGGAAGTTTCTGTAGTGGTACAATTATAATCAGGCCTTTTAAGGTTATGGAATAAAGTATTGAGCATAAAGTATTGGACCTCCAGGGTGACAGGTAAAGAGGGCTGGTGAGGTGGGTCACTGGGTAAAAGCTTTGTGAGTACGCACAAAATAAATGTAAAAAAAAGTTAAGGTATTATCTGGCATAAGGAATGATTTTTGTCTGAAAGGTGTTAATAGATGTTTTCTGTAAATACTGCTTAATTCACGACCAAGAAGTTCCTGCTGGAAAGTAAATTTGAAGGTAGATGAGCTAGAATGATGAAGGACTGTTGTTAATTAGCCGTGTGTGTGTAAGTAAAGTTATCGATTCTGAAAACGTGGTGGAAATGGGGAAAAAGGTTGGTTTTTGTTGTATTGAGGTAGGGTCTCACTTTGTAGCATTGACTGGTCTGGAACTCCCTGTGTAGATCAGGCTGGCCTGCTTTTGCCACCCACTGCTTGGGACCACCACATACGCTGGAAAACATGATTTGGTTTTGAGAGCGCCTGTCCTGGAACTTACTGTGTAGTCCACACTGACCTTGAATTTTCTCTCTCCCTGCCTCAGCCTCCCGAGTGCTGGGATTAAATGTATGCCTGGAGAAGTATTTAAATATGTTTCCCAAATTATTTTTTTAGAAAGTTTCAGGTTGTTGACCTTTTTTTTAAAGCACAATTTTATTGGTTTGTTGGGAATTTCACATCATGCACCCTAATTTGGCTCACCTAAGAGTCCCTCAGTATAGGGTGTTGCCTTTTGCTTGAGGAATTTAACATTTTTTTCCCAGAGGATGGTAGATATTTTACAGAGTAAAGCCAACCATACTCTATCCTAACATTCTCTTCATTTAGTGTTTTCCTGATGTCAGATTTAATCAGGTTACCTAAATGTAGTGAAAACTTGATGTTGAATATATATATTTTATGACTCACAAATTATAGGAGAAAAATTGAATGCACTATTTTAAGTAAATAATACACTATTTTTTCTACCCCATTCTCTCTTCTTATGTAATCTGCATAACAGTTTAAATAGGCTTTGACCTTTTCCACTGACTTTTACAACACACAATCTGTGGTTTTCCTTTTTATCTATTTTTTTTTTTTATTTTTGAGACAGAATTTCTCTATGTAGCTTTGGAGCTTGTCCTGGAACTATTATCTATCTATCTATCTATCTATCTATCTATCTATCTATCTATCTATCAATCATCTATTATGTATACAATATTCTGTCTGTGTGTATGCCTGCAGGCCAGAAGACTGCAGCAGATCTCATTACAGATGGCTGTGAGCCACCATGTGGTTGCTGGGAATTGAACTCAGGACCTTTGGAAGAGCAGGCAATGCTCCTAACCACTGAGCCATCTCCCCAACCCCCCTGGAACTATTTTTTTTTTTTTCAAGTCAAGGTTTCTCTGTAGCTTTGGACCCTGTCCTGGAACTCACTCTGTAGACCAGGCAGCCTGGGCTGGAACTCACAAAGATCTGCCTGTCTCTGCCTCCCAAGTGCTGGGATTTAAGGTGTGTTCCACCACTACCTGGCTCAGAATTAATTTTTTTAGTTGGCAGTTGTATGTATTTTGGGGGGACCAGGTAATGTTCAGATACATACATATTCATATATATTGTGTAATTCCAAATCATGTCTTTTACCTTAAAGAAAACTAGAAGTGTGTCATAGCTCACACTAAGGCTGGATTTGTAGTTTTGCTTTTGTAGGTCAGGTTATTTTATTTTCACAGATTTGTGTAATTGTGCTAGTTTAGCATAATTTTATCAACAAAGAAAAAATGCCTTTCAAATGAGAAATAGTTAATAGAAGAGAGATGGGAATTTTTCTCTATTCACTTGTAATTGTGGGAAGTCAAGTTGGCTCTAAAATATATTTCAGAGTAGAGCCTTTCAGAGTTTAGAATGTGTATAATCAGTCTTGGGTGACTGTTAAAATTGCAGATTCCATTGCTTTGCCTAGAGAAGTCCTGATTAAATAGGCAATACTTCATTCTCTTCCCTGGTCTTCAGTGGCTGAGACCTTTAGGTCTGAAAGCTCAGCAAAGTCGTTGCCCCTGCTTTACATTCCAGCTGTAAAGCTGTTCCCACTAACTGTCTTGTTTTTCTACTAGGGCTGCCTACATAATTTGCAGGGCCCCACTACAAATGGAAATGTGGAAAAAAAGGAGCTTGGAAGTGCTGATAAAAGTTGTAAAATACAAAGCACTTTCTTGTTAAGTATTTATTATAAAATGTGGCAGGGAGATGGCTTAGTTGGTGAAGTGCATGCTGGACAAGCATGAGGACCTCCATTCAAATCCTCTGAAGCCAGATGCAGAAGTGGGAAGACAGACAAGCAGATCCTGGAGCTTGCTGGTCAGCCAACTTAGCCATTTGGTAACCTCTGGATCCAAAAAGAGACCTTGTCTCAAAAAGACAAGGTGGAAAGCAGTAGAGGAAGGCAGTCAACCTCTAACCTCTGCACAGCATTTGCTAGTCATCTGAGGTGACTGCTGTATTTGAGCAGACTGTCCAGTAGAGGAAGGCAGGCAGTGCCGTGGTAGAGTCCGGAGACCGATTGCTCAGGTTTGAGCAGACCTGTTTTTCTTGCAAAGGCTAACAGCAGGCTTTGGGTAAGGTCCTCCTTGCCAAGCTTCGTAGTACACTTCTCCTACTGCACATCTCTCTGGCCACTGCAGGTTTTTTTTTTTTTTTTGTTTTTTGGCCACTGCGGTTTTTTTATTCTTCTATTTTTCATCCTAACACAAGGCGTTTCATAGACAATTTCTTCTTCCTGAAGAGTGTTCTTCACTTTTCAGGAAAGCCTTCCTTTGTCAACTGGAAGGTGAGGTTCATCTGCTATATACCCCTACATTCAGAACTGACTACATGTTACTTGACGAATGCTGTTAGGCTCTTAATATATGTTAAGTTTGGGGACCCTGCTTGCTTT